CATCTCTTCCTCTTCCTCCTCCTCTGTCTGCTGTTCACCAGGCATCTTGGTCCTAGGGCGAGGCGCTGTGTCAAAAGCTCAGGACTCGCACCCCCCTCCACCCCCCGCCTCCCCGCCCCATGGCCCTGACCCCAGCAAGGCGGAGGAGCCTTGGCTTCTCCCGCCCTGCACTGCCCTCTTCCCTCCACCCCAGCCCGGCCCCAGGTCCCAGGACCAGCTCCGAAGACACTCGTTCTCTGCACTCATCCCGGCATTCAAGGCCCTGAACAGTTCGAATCTCCAGCCCCAGCAAGTCGCCAACCTCCTCGCGCTGAGTCACTCCCCGGCGCCCGGGCCAGCGGTCCAGAGCTCTAGGGCACGGGCTGGGGGCGGGATCCGGGCGGAGACCCTGGGGGGCTGCGCACTCACCAGTCGCAGCTTCGGAGCTCGCACAGCCCCTGGCCAGGGCGCCGGGCGGTTGGGCACTCTGCGAGGCCGCGGCTCCGGGGGCGGGGCGGGGCGGGGCCTCGCGAATGGCCGCTCATTGGTCAGATCGCCTAACCCCGCCCCCGAGGGGGAGGGGCCCAGAGGACCCAGGCGTCCGGCCAGAACTGCCCCGGGAGGGTGGCGAGCCCAGATCTGGCGCCTTCGGCTGTACCCCAACTCCCAGGGACCCCCGGGCCGCCCCATCCCGGCGTCCAAGGTCCTCGCAGACCAGCTGTAACCTACCTTCAAGGCTCGTCTCCTGTGGCCGCCTCGGAGGTCTCCGCTGCGACCAGGCGCGTCCGCTCCGCCCAAAATAGGCCACGTGCGCTCCCGCCCCGGCCTGGGCCTCTCGCTGGCGCCCCGCCTGGAGGGCGGACCCTGTTGCCTGCTCACCTCTTCCCTTCCCTCTTTTTTTCCTCTCCCATTTTTTCTCCTTTCCAGGCGTCGCCTTCCCAGTCTCCTTGTCTCTGGGATGTCTTGCCCTTTTTGAATGCGTACTTCCCAAATCGACAGCCAGCGGAGCTACCGCTGCCACTCACTGTGTGCTGTGCCTACTGTGCGCCAGCGTTATGCTAAGCGTTTTACACACCTGATCTTTGATCCGCGCAAGAATGGGTCCGTTTTACGGATGAGCTAATTGAACTGGAGGGCGATAAAACTGATTTGCCCAAGTTATACAGTAAGGGTTGTCATAGCATCCCTGACAACCAATAGCCTAAGTGGAAAATCAGTAGCCCAAATCCAGTAGCTCAAATCCAGTCCACAGAAGTATCTTGTTTGGCCCTCGGGGCATTTTTACTTTTAAAAATTAGTTTTAAGAAATAGAGGCCTTTTACACATTTTAATTTCTCACATTTTAAAATTGGGATATTTTGTATAAGGATCTGTATTTCCCACTTCTCTTGAAAAAGATACCCATGGGCGCCTGGGTGGCTCAGTCGTTAAGCGTCTGCCTTCGGCTCCTGGGATCCAGCCCCGCATCGGGCTCCCTGCTCAGCGGGAAGCCTGCTTCTCCCTCTCCCACTCCCCCCTGCTTGTGTTCCCTCTCTCGCTGTGTCTCTCTCTGTCAAATAAATAAATAAAATCTTTAAAAAATATATCTTAGAAAGAAAAAGATAGCCAATTCTCCCATTTTATGAATGGGGCACCTAAGATTCAGAAAGGAAATAGAAATAACATTCAGCAAGTGCTTGTGATCCCTGTGTCTCTTTATAACAGCCCTGTGGGGATCAATGATATTGTCTCCCTCTGACAAACGAACCAAGCTTAGAGAACTTAAGTAATTTGCTCAAAGTCACAAAGCTGGTAAATAGCAGATTCCAAAGCTCATGCTCTTTCTATTGCACCAAATTATCTTTCAGAAATGAAATTACATGAGGAAATTGGTGGCAGAGCCAGGACTCAAAGCTGAGTCTCAGTTTTCAGAGGCCAGGGCATAATTTGGATGTTGGGATTACATCTGGTCAAACTTTTGCTCTTCCTCAGAGCAAGGAAAGGGGGCAAATGCCTGAATACACTCAAGATCTCCACTTTGGTTGTGCGTGCCCTACTATGTGCCTGGCACCATTCTAGGTATTGGAGATGCAGTAGTGAACAAAACAGACAAAAATCTTGGCTGCTACGGCACTTTTAAGAGTGTAAAAAATGTAAACACGTAAATCAACAAGATAATTGTAGATAATGAAATTAATAGGGCAAGATGATGCAATAGAATGGGTATGGTTTGGGGCTTTCTTATTTATTTATTTATTCATTTATGAGACGGAGCAAGAGAGGGGAAGGAGGGGCTGAGGAAAAGGGAGAGAGAGAATCTCAAGCAGACTCCCTGCTGAGCATGGAGCCCAGATCCTTATACATAACCCTGAGATCATGATCTGAGCCGAAATCAAGAGTCGGATGCTTAACCAACTGAGCCACTCGGGTGCCCCTTGGGGGCTTCTATCATGTGGATAGGGAAGGCATCTCAGGAAATAATACTTGAGATGAATCTTGAATGATGAGAAAGGATTAGCCATTTGAAAATCTGGAGGAAAAGTGTTCTAGACAGAACTGCAAAGGCCTAAGGTGAGAATAAGCTTGACATATTTAAGGAACAGAAAGAAGGTTTGTGTGGCTGGAGCCAAGTGAGTTAGCAAGGGGAAATGTAACATGAGAGATGGAGGAGAGGTGGGGAAGGGCCAGGTTATGTCTGGAACCCCACTTCTAGCAAAAGGTAAGACCTACTTGCCCTGATTCAATCAGTGAGGAGACTCAGCTGGGAACAGTGAAAAGTTACCATGGGAAGGGTCTCCTGCTGTGGGAGGGCTTTGGAATAGATGTTTGCGAAAGGAGGAAAAGGACTTCTGTCCATTTGCTCTGCAAACATGTACAAGTATATACCTGAACTCAGATCTAGTTTCTGTTCTTGAGAATCTCATAGTCTAGCAAAAAAGATTGTGATAAATAAATAAATAAATATATACGAATAAACATAAATATATATGTATCAGTGGGAAAGCAGCAGGTGTATAAGTGTTCTGGCAGGATAGTTAAGATGAGTGAATAACAATAACCCCCTGGGAAGGGAGTCGTTATCGGGTGCAGGCCTCTCTGAGGAGATAACTGTGAAGGACCTTCAAAGAAGAGTGGGAGCTTGCCCTATTGACAAGGAGGTAGCAGCTTGTGGGACTGTAAACTCTTGTGAAGAGCACATCATGTTCCAAGGACACACTGCTCACCAAAGTATTTAGTGAGGCCTATTGTGTGCTAGGCTCCCGCTGGGACTGGAAGGTAGAAAACGGAATCTGGAAAAGTCTTTATCATACAACTCATTACTCTGCATTTCACTGTTTGCTTTCAGACTCACTAGAACTCTACTTCAGTTCTTGATGCCCAAGGATTTGGGAGCATTCTCTTCTCTCTGCCTAGAAGACTCCAGCTCCTGTACCATCCCTCGCTCCTCCTTTCTTAGCTTACTCAGTCCTTAGGTCTAAACATAATTGCCATTTCTTTGGAGAGGCCTTTGAATCAGGTAGGATTCTCTTCTGTAGGTATGCTTCCTGCAGAGTCCTTCCTACACTTGTAATTATTTGTCCAACGTCTGTCTTCTGCATAGAAACTGAGGGCAGAGACTTTGTTTTATTCATCGTCCTATCCCCCATACCCAGCACACAACTGGTAATGCTGTTGAGTGACTAATCATCCTCAAGAAGTTCTCCATGTTTCAAGTGCTCAGAAGAAGTAGATTTTAACTCAGGCTGGAGGTTCAGGGAAGGCATCTGGGAGAAAGTAATGCTTGAAGTGTTCTGACTCGGAGAGGTTAGCAAGTCGGGGGTGGGGGGAGGGGAGGAATGAGCATTCCAAGTAAACGAAGCAATATTTAAGAAGCACAGGGCTGAAACCACACAAATGGAAGACCTTGGATGCCAACCTGAATGCCAAGGAGCTACGTTTTCCGGAGGAGACATATGGAGCTACGGCAGGGTTTTTAATAGGTAGCGACACAAACAGATGTAATTTTACAAAGGTCACTGCAGGCGGGCTTGGAGGCCGGCTGGTAAGGAGGGGAAACACGGAAACCAGCAGGGGCGATCTTCCAAAAGCCCCCCAAAGGCCTCCATTCAGGCCTATGGGCGTGTGTGCACCTAAGGACCGAAGCCGCCAAGAACCCCGGGCCCGAACGCAACATTTCGAACGTGTATTACAACTTGGCAGAGGTGGGAAGATAGGGAGGAAGGGCGCCGAAGCCAGCTTTCATTGGTTTCTAGGGAAGCCCGGCCGATGGTTAAGATCTCGCGAGAGCCTCTATCCAGGGACCATTCCCCCACCGAGACTAGCAGAGACGCCCAACCGGCGAAGTTGCAAAGCGGCCTTGTACTTCATTTCTTAGATGGGTGAACTGCCCTCGTCTTTTTTGTCCCTGGCCAATCAGGTCAGTTCCTCCTTCCCTTCCTCCCTACTGGCGCCCTCCTCGGAAAAAGCTAGGAATTGGAGTCTTGCTCCTAATGACGCATGGGTCGCTGGGAAAATATGGTTGCTTTTTCCAGGGGATAAAGAGGCGTCCCCTTTGCCCTCCCTTTGGACTATGCAGTCAAATGACCTGTTTCTCGACAAATAAAAAAGGGTCTCAGGGAGGCGGGGTTTCCGAGTAGGCAGAGCCTCAGTGTCGGGGACCTCCGCGCCTTACTAGACAGCCGGCCACCTTTCTCCCCCACCTGTCGCCATAGCAACGGCGCTCACCGACCTACGCCCCACCCCCACCCCCGTGGCGCCGCGTGTTTTTCCTTTTAGGGGTCGCGCTCGACGTTGTGGCGTAGGTGGCGCCTGTGGGCAGCCAGAACTCAGGTCTAGGGCATCAGCTGACAGACCTGGTGGCCGTTTTTCCAACCAGATGTCACAGCTGGAAAGCGGCTGACTGTTCCAACTTCTTTATCTGACGGGCTCGAAGAGGGCAAGGGACCCTCACAAGTTTGCGCATGGCTTCACCTGTGGTGAGGCTTTGACACCTTCCCCCCTTCCCCCCGGTCCCCGCACACATACACAAGCAGAGTCCGAGCTTCAGACAAGAAAGTTTATTGGCGAGGAGATACACGGAGATGTGGCTGTCCTGCCTTGGAGCTTCCCTGGCCTCTCCTCACTCCAGTCCTGCCCTTCTCCCAGCCAGTTTGTCTGCTGACGTCCACCAGGACCTGGGCTTGGCATCGACTGTTTGTCCCTTCTGCTGTCTCTGGTCTATTCTGCCAGCGTCCAGGTGTCGGGGCGGGTTGGGGTTCTCCAGGGCAGATAGGTCTGGGCTGTCCAACAGCGCCCTTCCTGGCTAAGACCATGTCCAGTGTGGCCTGAGCCTGGATACTGCAATCCACACAGCAATACTCTTCCCATCAGAAGGTTCCAAGATGCCCCTGCCTCTCTACCACCCAAAACTCCTGAAGTTTCACTGTTGTGGCTCATAAGGTCAAACAAACCCTGTTTGGTGCTGGCCAGGGTGCTGGTCTCCTAGGGGCAAGGTTGGGTGGGATCAATTCTTAGATTAAGAGGCAGCAGAATTTAGAGTTTTTTAAGGGCCCTCAGGCTAAGGCCAGTTTATTCATTCAGTAAGTACTGAGCGCCTACGCTATTCAGAATACAAGGCAGTGTTCTAGAAGCTGGGGGTATAGACCATAGTGTCAAGGTCCTGACTGAGCCCAGCCAGGACAGTTTCCTGAGCTTCAAGGTCATTGTCTCCAATCTCTATTTCTATCTATTCACTCCTTTCTCCCATTTCTTCCCCTCCTTCTCCCTCCCACCACCTCCCCGGCCCTTTATTCTCTGCTTAAGCAGCAGATACCCTCCCTTTGGTCTCCTGGGCTTCCATCTTCCCTGGACCCCATCATTCCAGTCCTGTTGGTGGCTCCTCCTTGAGGGGCCTTGCCCGACCATCCCCTGTCCCAAAGGGCCGCAGGACCAAGTGCCCACGCTGGTGCTTGATGCGGGCAGAACTGTCACCAAAACCTTTGCCACACTCTGCACACTTATATGGCTTCTCCCCAGTGTGTGTTCGCCTGTGTTTGACCAGATCTGAGCTCCGGGGGAATTCCTTCCCACAGAAGCCACACACATGGGGCTGGCTGGGTCCAGAGGGCTGGGCTCGGACTCGGGGTCGGGGGGCTGTGGGTGCCGGGCCAGGGGGGTTATGTGGCCTCAGGAGAGTGGATGGTGGTGGTGGCCGAGCCCGTTCACCTCGGTGAGTGCGGAGGTGCTTGACTCGGGCCGAGCTGTCAGCAAAACCCTTGCCGCATTCAGGGCAGAGGTAGGGTTTTTCCCCTGTGTGCACACGATGGTGTTTCACCAGGTCCGAGCTTCGGCGGAAGCCCTTGCCACACTCAGGGCACTTGTGGGGCTTGTCACCTGCCAATGGTGGGGGTGGCTCCCCAGCCTGTGGGCCCCCGGGCTCTGGCTCCAAGCCAGGCAGGCCAAAAGGCCCATCACCCGAGTGTGAAGGGCTTCGAGGTGTCAGCGGGGGGCTCGTGCCAAGAGGAGGTGGGGGTGGGCTTGAGCTGGG